TTAAAAATGATCAAACTTTCTGATTATGTATCATTGATTTGATAACGAAATAAGTAGCTTAATGTACGTGTGTGGTATTTTTAGACGGAAACATTATCATACAATATCATCTTTGTCGTAGTTAAAACTAGTGACCGGCCTAGTGAATGCACTCGCCCGGATAGGGAAAGCCTCTTAGTCTAAGAGCCAGCGGCCCGCAGGCCTTCGGTAAAGTATAAAAGCTGTAAGTTTCTCAATGTATGTCCCCAATACAGGTAAGAACGAACCTCGTCTATGTAACTTGGGTCGCGGTGGCTTTCGCAGGTATCAGGTAATAAAGGTGTGTAAAATTGTGTGTTAAATTTGGTAAAGTATAAAACTCAGTTTTTACATATTTTACTTATAATAATCCTAAAAGTCACCTTGCCGAAAGCCAGACACTTCGTACGGTTCCAACCCTCTGCCAGACACCCTTAAAGTATATTTAATTGTTACTATACTTACGGTATAGTATAAAAGCTGCAATTTATATATGTTATTTGGATAACTATAAAATAATGTTTTCTCAATAGCCAGACAGTTTCAGTGGTTCCTTTATGTTGCCAGGCACATCAAAAGTCTAATGTAGGTGCGAGCGCGAGGGATATATGTGTCAGCGGGTGCGAGTGAAATAGCGCGTTCGGTCCATTGCGACGCTTTACTGCGCATCATCTATCGTTTATTGTATATAATGAGAACTATTTTCTAGATTTACTATGAAAATTCATTAGTAAAATTCATTAGTAAGGGTACAATAACTTAAAATCAACAAATAAATGTTTAGAAAATTCTTTTATAAAATTTTCGTGTTTAGGAATCATAAAATTAACAATCGAATAATATCTTTAAATGATTATTTTTATAATATTTATGGGAATCATACAATTAATCTAACACAATAATTAATGGGAAAATGTTTCAAAGGTATTTTATTAATGAAAAAAAAGTGTATTTAATTATTGTCATCGTAGTCGTCAATATCTTGAGTGTCTTCATCATCGCTGCTCCAACAAGTGGGTTGGTCGTCATCAACATCGTCTTCTTCTTCGCCAGTTTCTGTAATAATTAATCCATGTTAACATAATCATAAATAATTATAATTTCCTCAATAATATTGTAACATCATAATTACATACCTGATACAGTTGTTAGAGAATCACTGACGTAGTTTGGTAGCTGATCACCTTCAAACCATTTAAAATGATATTGATCATTTTGCAAGATCCAACCATTATTTTCTGGTTTGTATGTAGTTGGTTTCTTCAGGTGAGCATTATTCCAAATAGTACAAATATAATTTGCCCGCAAAAATTGCTGAGATAGCTCACTTTTACAAGGTGGCAAACTGCTGGCATCGAAACTTCGTAATTTTTTTCGATTAAATGCCTCGTTGACATCAGAGACTGTATAGGAATCTATAAACATTTGGAATCGTGCTGTATCAACATCAATAATATTACCAGCATTGTATAAATTGCATATATATCGCTGAATGGTTTTAAAGACGTTTTCTTGTTCGTCATAATTTTCAAATATAAATAGTAAATCTAAAAAATAGTTCTCATTATATACAATAAATGATAGATGATGCGCAGTAAAGCGTCGCAATGGACCGAACGCGCTATTTCACTCGCACCCGCTGACACATATATCCCTCGCGCTCGCACCTACATTAGACTTTTGATGTGCCTGGCAACATAAAGGAACCACTGAAACTGTCTGGCTATTGAGAAAACATTATTTTATAGTTATCCAAATAACATATATAAATTGCAGCTTTTATACTATACCGTAAGTATAGTAACAATTAAATATACTTTAAGGGTGTCTGGCAGAGGGTTGGAACCGTACGAAGTGTCTGGCTTTCGGCAAGGTGACTTTTAGGATTATTATAAGTAAAATATGTAAAAACTGAGTTTTATACTTTACCAAATTTAACACACAATTTTACACACCTTTATTACCTGATACCTGCGAAAGCCACCGCGACCCAAGTTACATAGACGAGGTTCGTTCTTACCTGTGTTGGGGACATACATTGAGAAACTTACAGCTTTTATACTTTACCGAAGGCCTGCGGGCCGCTGGCTCTTGCTCTATCTGGTTTGAATCCAACCTGACATTCGTGCCGTGTAAATGGTTTTAAGTAAAAAAATCTTACGTTTTATAAATATTGTTGATATTTAATTTTTAAATAAATTTCTTTGTTCGTATCATAAATGTCGTGTCCTATCTACTCTTTCTATGTATAATATAAATTCTTGTCGAAACAGACACACAATACGAAGTCATAAAAATACAGATAAGACTGGAATATACAATACAGTCATCTTTAAAAAGAATAACTCCTATTATTGCTTGTTGGTTTCAATTTATTATTTGTGTCCGTAGTTTGTTTTTTTAAAGTTAACGAAAATATTTAATTCGCCCAAAGAATGATAAATGACAATAAAATATTAGAAAAATCATTAAATCACAAAAAAAATAATGAATATAAATATTTGCTGATTTGTTATGTGAAGTCTGAGAATACTGAGAGTGATTCGGTAATTAAAGTAAAAAAAAAAACGACGGGTTGCACTCCGGGAGTGCCGGCAGAAGCGAAAACTTGAATGTTAACGTTGTGCATTTTTGATATTTTGGAATGGTTAGGGAATAATTTTGCTCGAATTGCTTAAAATATCAGTATAAAAGTACTATCATTTATGTGGTAGAATACAATATTTATTTATTGCGCTATCGTACGCAAACATGACAATTTAACAAATATTACATTAAAAAGTTTATCTCTCAGAAAAGTCAATTTACATGAATCACTTTTAAGCCATCTAGTGACATCTAGTTTTAAAAATTGCATTTTCTTCGCAATAAAGCTGAAACCTGGACGTCCTAGATAGAGACTTATTATTATAATACGATAAAATAAAATATTACTTTGTTTCGTCCAATACATTGAAAGTCAACAACCTTTTCAATTTTATTGTTTTCGTCTGACGAATTTTCGATTAGGTCACGTGTCCTGACGCGATCAGGCCACGTGTCCTGGCGCGAGTTTAACATCTTTTACCCATTACAAATTAAGTGTAAAAATTTTGGGTCTGTCTAATAAGGAAATAGCGCGCATTTCCAAATGGCGCCATGTGCGGGTGGTGAAATTTAGAACTACATATTTGGTCCCTCTTTCTTTTTAGTTAAAACTAAACTACTACTTACTAAGTGAGACATAGGTAGGCATAGACTAAAAGCGCTTCCGAGATGGTTCAATCGTAATAAAAAAACGTAAGAAATGAAAAAAAAAATGAATTTTACTGCACGCTCCGCTGTATGGCCCGTAATTTTTATTTTTCTAACAATGTATTATACAACCTATTTATGTGCATTATTTGAGCAAATGTGTTGAAAACTTTATTTTCTTCGTTTATCAGGTAGATTATCAAAAAATACTGGACACCGATTTTTTCTTTGTTGAAATAATCAAAACATTGCAAAGATATTTATATTAATTAAAAATGTCGAATGACGTCACGAGCCCCCGATCTAAAACTTGATGCGCTTTTAATTTTTGGTTGATCGACAAAAAAAAAATGTGTCCATTATTTTTTAACAATCTAACCGACGGACTTAATACTATTTCGCTTACCTTACCCTGTCGTCATCTCTATTATAGGATCGAGTTTAGTGTTTTCAATATCTTCTCTATTTCTGTAAAAGCATACTTTTACTGGTGCATAAAATTTTACAGTTTGCAAGCTTGTTTTGCTAATGTGACATTGTATGTCGTCATGCATATTTGAATACCACACGAGATTGGAACGTGTTACTCAGAAGCCATCAACTTGAACGAACTAAATTGAGTTCGTAATATTTTTTATGGATAAACTCGTACATAATGTTCATGAATTTTGTATAAGGCCTCAACTTACTTCATATACTGATCGTTCAAGACTTGTATTTGTTTAACTTCATACTTATTCAGCAGGTTCTGTAATATTAATGCCTTCTTCAGTAAAGTTTCCTTTATGCTAGACTGGCGCAATAGGTTTGTTTCAAAGGTTAACATCTGCTATTTTTCTCAAAGATATGCTCTAAAAGTCTATCGAGAAATTGGCTAGTTTTGGAAGTTAGCTAATTTATTTTTACCTAACAAAGTTAAAGGCCCAATCGATCCTTATTTTGTCGTTGAAGTAATTGTCTGATATTAATAATGTAGATCTGCATTATAGTTAAATATGATGTCCAATTCTGGTTAGAAAACCAAGATGCGGTTTTAATTTCAAGCAGGACAGAAAATAAAGAGTAGAATTTCCACGCGGACCAGGCAGCAGAAGAGACTCGAACCTGCACCCTCCTCTATCCGGGCGATTGTAATGACCAATTATTGTACCCCAGCCCTAATGGTCGTGTCGAGTTTTGTCTAGTATTTATTAGGCTGCAAGGTAGTGTCATCTCTTCGCATTGTAGGGAGGAACCCACAATGTCAAATGAATACCTTTACAAGTATTAATAAACATTTGAAAAAAGAAATAGCAGTTCAACGCTTGAAAAATAAAAATTTAAACTCCCCGATTGCTCAAAAAAATCTGTAGAAAGAAATCAGCATAAATCACATTTTTTGACAACTGCAGCCAAAAAGCTTTTGGAAAGAAATAACACCGACCACATTACGGTTTTCAACCACAATAACAATTGTGAATTGCTAGCAATTTCATACAAATTCAAATGAGCAAGCAAATCAGTCGCGTTGCGCTGCGGTGGTAAGTTGCTAATTGCTTGCGTAATAGGCCTGTCATATGTTACAAATGTGAAAGACTCAATTATGCCAGTTCTCAAGGAGGAAAAGGGGGTGCACTACTTCTAAAAAAAATTTAACAGCGAGAAAGGGTGCTAAAAGCCCGGCGGTTAAGACATCTTCGTCACGATATCAGATTTAATTTTAAAGAATAAAATCTTTGAGTAAGTTCTATGTAGTACTATTGTTGCAGTATTCTATTCGCGGACATTGTGGGCTTCACGGTGCTCGCATCGCAGTGCAGTGCGCAGGAGTTGGTGCGGCTACTCAACGAGCTCTTCGGCAGATTCGACCAGCTCGCCAATGTGAGTATACTCATAGCACTTTAAATAAATTTATGATCAAGAGTTTATTGTACAGCTGTACATTACCTGTTAGCAGATTTTTTCATGATATGCCGTCTTCGTAGATTTCCATTGCGAATCTCAGAACTTAAACGTAATAGAACTTCATGCTATAATCATGCCATTCCAGGGTTTGTTATGCATCAAAAGTACAACAGCAGATTCGGAGAGGAAATATTTGTATAATGTGATTCAACTAAGAATAGGACCGACTGGGCCCCATATTGTGACGTCATAGATGTCAATTCAAACCAAATAGGTAGAGTGAGCAAAAAAAGTTTTTATTTAATAAAACTTATTTGTACTAAGATTATGTGAGAAAAAACATCAGATTTTTTTAATAATTCATCCATCCATCAGCCTTTCTCCATCCACTGCTGGACATAGGCCTCCCCCATAGAACGCCACAATACGCGGTCCTGCGCTATCCGCATCCAGCGGCTCCCAGCATATTTGACGATGTCAGTCCACCTTGTTGGGGGCCGCCCCACGCTGCATCGTCCGGTACGTCAGATCCTCGAGCGAATAATTAAAATAATAATTAATAATGAATTATCAATATTTTTTATTGTTTGTTTACAAATGTTTAGTTTTAATTCTAGAATTAGCTGAGTGCTAAAAAAGGGTTCTAAGTTTTTTTTGAAAGCCGTACTTTTCAAGCGACTTTTGACAGATGGAGGTCATTCGCTTTCCTATTCTTATTTGAATCGCACTATACACTCCTCAACGATGTTTAGAATGGTATTGAGCCTATGAGAGTAAGAGACAAAGCCTAATATAGAATAATTTCTACAAATACCAAGATTAAATTTAAATTTACCAAAAATGGAACCAGGAACATAGATTTTTTTAAATGTTTAGGTAAGTCGTTTGTCCATAATGATAGTGACAATGCGTTAAATGAAGCGCACTCTGAATTCGCGGTGGTCGTCGAACCTCATACTTGCTTACAAAACAACTACCACATTCTCTACTAGTTTGTAAAGCCCGTTCGAAACAATAGCCGAAATGTTCGCAACAAGCTCTAGCGCGGGTCGAGGCGCACTTGAATTCAAGTTTCGCCTTCTTTCACGGCCTAGTATAGGTATTCCAAGGGAGCTTGGTGACTACTGCAGTGCACCCAAAAATTGTTGCTGTTGAACAAGAACAATGTGGGACAGTCAGCAATAATTATATAGGTTTATGTGTCGTAGGATGATTTCATAAATGGAATTTTCGCAAAATCCTAGGGGTTTTGCGAAAACGCGATAAATATACAATGGCGATGTCAATCGTATGACAATTAGAGATGGAAAAAACGGCTTATTTCTTAAAAGCGTTTAAACGTTGTACTTTTTAAAATAAGCGCGCTTGAAAAAAAGCTTTTTCGTTTAAACGCTTATTGGCTTAAACGTTTAAAAGCATGGGTAAAAAGCGCGACGTTGTGTTGTGTTTTCGTTTCGGTATATCGTTTAAAAAAGCGTGAAAAGTTTATTGTCGTTTTTAATGTGTTTAAGTGTTTTATTGCGTTTTTTCTTCTTATTAATGAAATTTTTATTAAAAAGTTTTTTTAAACCTAATGAATTGATTGGCATTAAAAACGAAAGATTTTCAATTGAATTTAGATTTTATAAGAAACGTTTTTAATGTGTTTAAGTGTTTTATTGCGTTTTTTCTTCTTATTAATGAAATTTTTATTAAAAAGTTTTTTTAAACCTAATGAATTGATTGGCATTAAAAACGAAAGATTTTCAATTGAATTTAGATTTTATAAGAAACATTTATAATAGTCAATGAACTTTCCTTCGTACTTTACAAGCTAAGGACTGTCTGGAGTTAATATACTCGTGATCCAGGCGTACTTAAAAGTTCATTGATTTTATATACATACTTTTAACTATTTTATATGCACATTAAACCAATACACGAAACGCATTAACACAAGCAAGCATGCAAACACACCGTACAACACCCACGCGTTCTTACCCCGTCACAGTGACAAGCGTACTGCTTTTCGAGTTCGTTTAATTAAACGCTTTTAATGAAAAAAGCGTTGGTTATCCGACCAAATTTTAAAAAAGTGCATTTTTTTACGTCGCATTATAATAATTCGCATGCTGTATTAACCGGCTCACGAAAGATGGCACGCCGACGCCGCGCTGTAGTCGCGCGTTCTATGTCTGTAATATTGTGAAATATTGAGTTCCAAGGAATTCCGCGTACCCATTTTTCGATACTGTAGTGGACTAGAAGGATCGAAGTATGTAGTTTCCTGGGAAAGACATAGATGGCGGGATTTGCACTTTTTAAGTAAAAAATATACTTGCACTTTTTTAAGTGAAAAGCTTACTCACACTTTTTAAGTGAAAAGCTTATAACGCTTATACTTAAAAGCGTGCTTACAAGCTTAATATTTCAAGCGCGCTTATTTAAGCGCTTTTCGTTTAAACGCCCACCGCTAATGCCAATGACATTTCTCAATCTTACTGAAAAAAAAAAAAGGATTTTTGCGAGAACGCTAGTCGCCTCACTAAGATTGCGGAAATAATCGTTGGCTTATTATAAATGGGTATTTGGGTACTTGGGTTCACACTAGATTAGGTTAGTGTTATGACCATGACGGGGAGCCGAGTGAGCGTAGCGTACCGCGGCAGCGGCCGGCGAAGCGCCAGAAAAATAAAATTAAAACAGATTGAGCAAGTCATCACCATTGGCTAGTATTCGCGGTTTTTTCGCAAAACCCGTTGGATTTTCGTGAAATTTGATTTTTCAAGTAATCCTAGGACATACACACCATCAAAAGGTAGTGTATTTTCAGTGTTGTCGTCTGTATAGTCTGTGTTTAGATGGGCGCTTCGATTCCAGCGTTTTTTGCTATGTCGACTAGCTCCCTTATGAAAGAGACAAACCTTTTGTTTAGGTTCTTATTTTATAATAATGAAAATTACCTGAAATTACAATTTAGTAAGAACGTTCAAGACTATCGTCTTCATATAGTAGTCGCGGCAGTGGCGAGTTACCGTCTTATGTATCGTTTAACAAATAGCTGTGCAGGTAATGATGCATATTAAATTTCATGCGGAAGTAGGGATCCTTCTGTCGCTAACGCCGCAAAAGGTCGGTTAAATACATTATACGTTCACGGAACGAGACGCTTCTGACGACTAATGAGCTTGATGCTCAAACATGAAAATTGTAAGGACCCCTTCTCGGTTTAACGGCATTATATAATTAATCATAATGTGTGTGACAAACGACACCCTTCAACTCTCTAACATTTTCTAAGGATGTCGTTCGGATACTAAAATATAGATGGGTTATAGCTTTGGAACATCTTGTGCCTATTCGAATTTAATGAATTTAATAGATAAAATTTAAAATAGATTTCCGAGTTATGGTTGTTTGTACTTTTGTATTATTTTTGTGTAAAAAATGTGGCAACGTAGCGATAGGGATAATGACAAACTTTTATTTCTTCTTCTATCAGGCCCTTTCAAAAGTATTGGACACGTATGTTTTTTTTTATTTTTTTCACAGAATCAAAACATTACAGAGACTATATTAAATGAATAGTCGCAAAACGTCACGGCGTAATACAATTTTTACGTAGCCTCCACTCCCAAACTTTGCGCGCTTTATCTTTGTATTTTTTTGGTTGATTGACAAATAAAAAAATATTTGTCCATTGCTTTTTGATAATTGACGATAACTGACGGACTAAATAGAATTTCGATTACTTCACCCCGTCATTACCCATACAGATGGTAAACTGAAACCATAACCTATGGTTGCTTGCTATACCACGACACGACGAGCACCAATAAAATTGACGGGAGTATCGGGGAAACAAGAGAACGATAAATTGTCTCTGTATATCGGGAATCAAGCGGGGCATTACAGTGATGTTAAGTTATTTGCGTTAATTTTCTGTAACTTATTGTTCTGCGATGCAGGATAACCACTGTCTCCGTATCAAGATCCTGGGTGACTGCTACTACTGCGTATCCGGGTTGCCCGAGCCTCGGTCGGACCACGCCCGATGCACGGTCGAGATGGGGCTTGACATGATAGACGCCATTGCGTAAGTCTACTATAATCCTCGATTCTGCTCTTTCATGATTATCAACCTTTTAATAGGCGGATGCGACACAGGCTTTCCCTATGGATACCTCGGTCCTCAGAATGCGTATCGGGCAACCGGTGCAGGAGGGTGGTCTGGTTTTTACTGGGTAGGGCCTTGCCCATTTCATCGAGCTCATGGGCTGGATGAAGTGGGCAGGGGGGAGTCCGCAGATACCTTCTACTTGCTACCCTCGTGACTGCAGTTTGCGTAAGGACATTACTCAGACAAAAAAAGGCTATCCCTCCAGGTGGAATTGGGAGATTGGGCTATCCACCCACTACGCAGGCCCATAGGTGGGTGCTAACGACTGGAGATGTGAGACCAACAGCCCTACGTGCTTTCTGAAGCACAGATAAGCTCGAGATTTTTGGTCACCCATTCGATAGCGGGCCATTGCGAAATTTAATAAAATTCTACAGTCGCAAACCGAACGCTATAACACTTATATCTTCAACTCGACAGCTCTCAATTTTGCTTACATTGCATTTTTTACAGTTTTTGTTACTAAAACATAAAATAAAATATATGTACCTATTTGATTTTTCATTTGTTGTTAAAACGTATGCATTACTTATTTTGTAAAAAAACATTGGCATAAAAGCCCTTTCCTTTTACGATCTCAAATCAATTTGAATGTTCAAAGTTATGAAATTTTAAGTCACCTATGTATTTTTTGTCTGGCAATAATCGAGTGATTTTGAGTCATTGTGAGCGTTTTACCAATTATTATATAGGGTGTACAAAACAAAATGTGATATAAGGAAATTATCTTTAGAACTAAATAATTAAGAAGTTCAGAATCTTGCCTGGCCTTTGTTAGGTCAACAGCTATTAAATGAAAACTTTCAAATGACAAAAGTATTTAATGATATTTTCTCCCTCTCTGTTGATAGGCTTTTATGTTACTTTTATTATAAAGTAATTTATTAGTTTTCCCTTGGATCGACAAATCAACATTTTACCCACAGCTTGGCTTACCAGTTCTACAGAGGTTACTATAGTCCCTAAATAGAATATTAATGTTACTTATGTGTTCGTTCTGCGAACTTTGCGCTCGATGCCCAATCTTTGCATGTAACGACATTAATTATTTAAACTGAAACTAACATATTTTTCCTTTAGGTATTATAATATTATACGAGCTTCCCGCCCACGGCTGCACTCGTGTCAACAATTTTAATACTTAGGGGACGTCTTAAAAAAACGAAGAAAATAATTGACAACTATAAAAAGGTCATTGATCTGTTTTCATATTTTAAGTTTCATATAAACATTCATCTCCAATAACTCCTTAGAAGATATTTTTCCAAAAATGTAACAGTACTTACACATTTATTATTTTTTTTTTTTAAATATTTGACGACCTCCGTAGCCGTGAGGGTTGTACGCCCGGTTTCATGGTGTGGCCGACTCGAGAGGTCCCGGGTTTGAATCCCGGTGGCGACAGATGTTTGTGTGATGAATACGAGCATTGGTACTCCAGTCATGGATGTTACCTATGTTTTGATATTCCTATATACTTATATGTGTACAGTATATGTATTCTATCCGTTACCCTAGTACCTATCCCATAACACAAGCATTACAGTGCTTACTGTGATGTCAGGCTAATTGGTGTGTGTGTTGTTTTTTTTTTAATGTCTTTAATGAAACTGAAGAAGTTTAATAAATACTTTGACTCCCTATAAACCCTTACCCCATTAGTAATAAACGATGAAAAAACTTAAGACTAGTTCATATCACTGAAATGTCATTTATAATTCGATTAACAGAGACAAAACATGGATTAACTAATCTTTTTTTTTAAGTTAATAAAGGGGTTAGGGGATGAATTTCCAATAACCGCTTCTTGGTGTTCAATTTGTTTACTTACGTCACTAAATAAACCTGTGTTTTAAATTTCATGTTTCTACACCCAGCAGTTTCGATTATGTGTTCATTGATCAGTCAGCCAGTTATTTTTTGCTTTTATTACAGAAAATTAGGATCCTTTAGTATTTCTTTACAAACTTCTAACGAAAGACATATTTGTCAGTTTGGTAACATGAAAAAACCCGTGATTAGGTATTCACATCATAAAGTGTGTGGTCATTATACCTTTTGAGAACACCGAAAAGTTAAGTGTTGCTAATTCGTTTTAATTAGATTTTAATGTGACAGCTTCATTAAACAATGTGTTTAATCTTCGGTATTTGTGGCGAATAATATGTATGCTTGGGGAAACATCTTTTGTATGTAACAACGACCTATTTCACTGTTCAGTGGTCTTAATCGAATTCCATATTTACCCGTAGAAGCGTATTTAATATTTGTTAGGTGCCAACAGTCCCTCAAAATATTTGATACTGCATAAATTTAATATTCTATTATTACAATGTGCCCGTACTTGTAACCAACGTAACACAAAAAGGGATATGAATATTTTTAGTAATTTAATCATTTCATTAGCTGCTTCATTTTTATTAAAATTCAGTTTAATTTATGTTCCGGCAGTCATAAATGTCATAATTAAAGTTGATCATTTAATTATAAACCAGCACGAGTTGGACAGGAATTAGGTTAGGTGTAGAGAAAGAGAAAGAGTGTTTTGTTGGCAGCCCTGCCATAGATTATACACATAAAATGGTATTTATTGTCTGAGATTATTTTTTAACTTTTTAATTTAGCTTACTTAACTGGAAGTGTCCGTCACAATCTAAATACTGATAATTATCGCAAAAAATATACTAAGAATTATCATAAATGCCAAATTGGTGTTGGTTCTTAGGCCAATTTTAACATTGTCCTTTGACTTGCACATTAAACATAAAAGTGATTTTATAATGAAAAAAACCCGCACAAGATGTAAAGATTTAGAATCATTTTTTAAATAAGTTAACAGGGCGTTTTTTTTTTACTATTTTTCTTAACGTTTGCTATACGTTACAGGTTACATGTTGGCAAGATTGGATTATCAACTGCCGAGAAAAATGTCGTATGCAATCTATATTTCTGTGAATTTCTGTATTTTTTTTTACTATTTTTCTTAACGTTTGCTATACGTTACAGGTTCAATGTTGGCAAGATTGGATTATCAACTGCCGAGAAAAATGTCGTATGCAATCTGTATTTCTGTGAAATATTCAATCCAACGTGTGTGGCTATCTGTTTGATATAAAACAAAATGGACATTGAAGAAATAAGCGAGCTTATCGCCAATTGCGAGGAATTTAGGTTGGGTGAGGTCGGTCGTTGGTTTTTGCGGCCCTTTGATCTGTGCCCTGTTTCAAGGGTTTCGAAAACATTATTGTGACATCTTTGAGTCCCTACTAAACAACGAGGTATATGTTTTTTAATTATAAAGCTATCCGTATTCCAAATATTTTAAAGATAGCCCTCTACAAGTTTTTTCATGCTATTATTCACTGTGTTTACAATAACTTTATTTATCTCAAGTATGTAGACAACTCATTCCAAACAAATAATTCCGGATGGATCTATATATAATAAAGGTTGCTATTAGTTATAATCGATTCGATTGATGATTTTATTTTGTTATATCTCTAAACCGAACAACGCGTCTTTAGAATAATATTTAGGTATTAATATAGAAGACCTCCAAACGATAGGAAAATATTGTTAATAACAACTTTATTTCGCCTAGTAGATATTTCGCCTAATTTCAGTTTTCTTTTGGTTCTATTTGGAGCTAAAATTAAAGTGATGGACGTGGCCGTGAACTTTACTTTAAGCCCAAATGACAGACGCGTGTCTCGAATTGAGTCCCGTCCAATCCAATAGGACGCTGACATCGTCGAGAGATTACATTTTTGAAGAACCACATATATTTACTGCTTTCGAACTCGACATCGATAAAACATTGATACCTTCTTATGAAAGAATAGAGCGTAGTGTATTGTTTTAGCATGTGGCCGGTTTTCCAAATATCCTTGAATTTGATAAGGAAACAATTATGTTTCGGCTCAAACGCGGCTTTGTTACGTAGGTAATATTAGAAATAAATAAGTATTCGCTTATACCATCAAATAAAGAAGGATATAGTGCTGATTTACTTGATTATATTTTTAATATTTTTAAGCATGTAACTGCTTGATGTTTAAATCTAAAGAAAATATAACTAGAAAAATTTCTACCAGGCAGCAGACGGGACTCGAATTCGCACCCTTCGCAATCCGGGCGAATGCACTGACCAATTATGCTACCACGGCCCTGATGGCCGCGTCGAAATTCTTCTAGCCATTCAAAACACCACCAGAAGGTATTATTTTACTGTAGTCTTCTGGAGGTGGAGATTACTTCCCCAGACGGGCGCTCCAATTCGAACGGAAAATTCGCTATACCTACCTACCTCTCTATATATGTTTTATGCTAAAAGGGTGGCAAACAAGCACCATCTTCTATACAACTATAATATAGTTGTATAAGTTTAAATAAATTTGCAGGCAGACTGTCTAAGCAGGTCGTCCATTTTATTATACTCGTATGTAGCTGAGAATACAGCCAATGATATCCGCACAGTGAGACCGCAAACCTCAAACACGGCTGAAAGAGTGGTGTTTCAGAATAGAACTATACCTGCGGGTTGCGGTCTGCGCTTACTTATATTTCTCGCCGTATGTAGGACAAATAATAAGAGATAAATAAAACTTTATGGTCGAAGTAAGACTGAATAATTCTATTCTGTGTCTAAAAGAAAAAAAAATGTGCTGTTCACATGCGATAAAAGTGAAACCTACAAAAATGGAAATACGTAAAAGTCCTTCATGACTTGGTACGTCTTAAAGACAACACCTGTGTTAAAATTCAACTGTCTAGGTCAAAATTAAAATTATATTATACTTGTTTCGAAAAATGAAAAAGAAAAGGTTAATAAAAGAAGAAAAATGAAAAAGTGCATTATGTTTCAAGACATTATTAAACTAATCACGTTAAATGAAACATTAATAAGTATATGAATT